AAAAAAAAAGTGCTATAGAGTAAGGATGTCAGTTTAAAGACTAAGATGTACCTGACCCAAGTCATGGTATTTTCAATTGCATCACATGCATGTGAAAATTGGACGAGTAAGGAAGATTGAAGAATGACTGCCTTTGAGTTGTATTGATGAAGAGAATTCCAAAAGGACAAATAAATCTATCTTGGAGGAAGTGCAACCAGGGTTCTCCTTAGAGTAAAGAATGGTGAAACTTGGCCTCACATACTTTAGTCAGCAGAGGTCAATCCTTGGAAGAAGACCCCATACTTGGAAAGGTGAGGGGTCAGCAGAAGAGAAGAAGACCCTCTATGGGATGCATTGACAACTGGCTTGGGTGTGATGGAGATTGTGAAGATGGTGCAGGGCAGGGCAAAGTTGCCCTTCATTCTTCACAGGGGCTTCGAGCAATAGCACTATGTGGTTTGAGCTTCGATCAAGCAAACTAGTTGTTGTTGTTATGTGACGCCAAATCACCTGTGACTCATAGCAACCCTAGGCTCTGAAGCCTGCTCTGTCTTGAGCAAGTCTCACTGACTCTGACACACCTACCCCCATTGCCCATCACTTTATCGATCCAGTTCATCCAAAGTCTTCCTCTCCTGTACTGTCCCTCCACCCTTCCAAGCATGATGTCCTTCTCTAAGGATTGGTCCCTCTGGCCACATGCCCAAAGTATGTAAGAAAGAGCTTCAAAATCCTAGCCTCCAAGGAAAAACTTGATTTAACCTTCTCTAAGACAGACCTATTTGTTTTCTTGATGATCCATGCTATGTTTAAGACTCGTACCCAGCATCACAAATCAGAGGTACCAATTCTTCTATCATACATAATCATTATCCAGTTCTCTGATGCATAGCAAGTAATTGTGAAGACCGTGTACTGGATCAGGTGCACCTTAATCTCTAGACTGATGTTGTTGCTTCTCAGTACTCTGGAAAGGTCTCTGACAGCAGATTTACCTAGTGCAATTCCTCTTTTGATTTCCTGACTGCTGATGTGAAGAGTATTTATTGTGGAGCTGAGAAAGCTGTAATTGTTAACAACTTCAATCCCTTCTGTATCCATGGTGCTGCCAGTTGGCCCAGTGGAACAATTTTTGTCTTCTTGATGTTGAGGTTCAATCCATATTAAAGACTACAGTCTTTGAACTTCTGCATCAAGTGCTTCAGGTCCTTCTCAGTTTTAGCAAGCAAGGTTGTGTCATCTGCATAACATAGTTTGTTGATGAGTCTTCTTCCAATACTGATGCCACATTCTTCCTCATAAAGCCCAGCCTCCCGAATGATCTGTTCTGCATATAGATTGAAAATGTTTTGAGACAGGATGCATCCCTGAAGCACTCCCTTCCTGATTTTGAACCTTGTAGTGTTTCCCTGCTCTTTTCTGAGGACTGCTTCCTGGTCCAAGTACAGGTTTTGCATGAGCAAAATCAAGTGTTCTGGGATTCCCATTCTCCTCAAGGTTAACCACACTTTGTTGTGATCCACACAGTCAAATGCCTTTGCATAGTCAATGAAAAGCAGACAGATATCCCTTTGGTACTCTTTGCTCTCTGCCAAGATCTATCTGACATCGGCGAGAATGTCTCTAGTGAGATGACTTCTAAGCTCAGCTTGTATTTCTGATAGTTCTCTGTCAATGTTCCAGTCTTTCCTGGATAATCTTCAGCAGGATTTTGTTTGTGTATGATATGAGTGATATTGTATAATAATTTCCACAGTCTGAATATTGCACTATAGCACTGAGAAGCCAAAGCAAAGGGAAGAAATCAAGAAGTTAAGGAGCTGAATAGAAGATTTCAAAGGGAAGCACAGGAAGGAAAAACTAAGTATTACAAAGAAATGTGCAAAGAACTTGAGCCCTAAAATCAAAAGGACTGTACTCGCTCGGCATTTCTTAAGTGGAAGGAACGAAAGAACAAATTCAAGCCTTGAGTTGCAATACTTAAGGATGTTATGGGGTAGAATATTAAATGATCCACGAAGTATTAAAAGAAGATGGAAGGAGTACACAGAGTCACTGAACCCAAAAGAATTGGAAGATACAGAAGAATTTCAATAAACAACATATGATCAAGGGCAATGGTGATGTAGGAGGAAGTTCAGGCTGCTCTGAAGGACTTGGGGGAAAAAAGCCCCAGGAATTGATGAAATACCAATTGACATATTTCAAAAAAGAGATGCTGCCCTTGACATGCTCATCAGGTTGTATAAAGAAATCTGGAGGACAATTACCTAGCTAACTGACTGGATGAGATCCATATTTATTTCCATTCCAAAAAAGGTGACCCAACAGAGTGTGGAAACAAACTAGAGTAGACAAAGATCAGGGGGTGTGTGTGTGTGTGTGTGTGTACAATAGTGAACATTGAGGGAAGTGGATCTCATGATCTTTCAAGGTCTTGGGAATTTTAAAAAGTCATGAATAGCTAGAACATCAAAAGGGCCCCAAATTCTGAAACTTTACACAAGTGACAAATTTCCCCAAATCAGAAAGTTCTAACATCTCAGAGCCCTGGACTGCTGACAGTCCTGTTTCTCTGAGTTCTGAGGTCCTGGAGTCTCACAGTGTCTCAGGTTCTAGAACATTCTAACCCACCACTAACAATTCTATCTCATGGCGAGTCAGAATTGGATGCTGACTCATTAGAGGAGACTGTTCACTCTCTTCCCATGGAGCACCTGGTGAATCCAAACTGTCAGTTCTTGGCTTTGTAGCCAACATAGAACACTCATCAGTACTGGAGCTTCTTAGCACTTTCCAAAGGTCTCTAAACTCTCATAATTCTAGTTAGGGCTGTGCATGTGTCCTCCTTTTTCTCAAGCACTGGCCCTTCCCTCTAAGCTCTGAAGACCTTTCCTCTTGAGGAAGATTCTTTTTCCAAGTTCATTTGGCCAAGTTGATGCCAGCCTAAATCAGAGTCATCATTCAGGTGGTGGGTGGGCAGCCCACCTTAGTGAGTCCCACCACCACCAGGAGCTGCATTCTCAGGCTTAGGGGAGTCCAGGGCAGCTGAACCCCTGGATTTTCCTCCCTGGGAGTGGGTGAGCTGCTTCCTGTGAGCCCTCTGTGTGCTCTGTTGCAGGCATCCCGTTTGGAAGAGTGGCTCAGTGATGTGATCCGGGCAGCATACGTGTCAAAGCTCAATGGTATGAGTGGCCTTCATGATTTTCTTGGACATACAGTGTCTGAATTTAGAATTGTCTCGTTTGCACCCTTTTTTCATTGTTCTGATGAGACACTGAGGCCAGAGAGGAGGGCCAGAGAGGAGGTTATCCTGTCAAGATGCTTAAGCTGATGTGCCAATGTTTTCATTCAAATAACATTTATTAGTACCCACATCATGTTGTATTCTGGGTCTTGAGCTGACTCTAACCCGAGTCCTTGCCTCAAGCTCACAATCCAGTGAGAAATAGTTATAATAACAAATGATTAGGCTATAAGGGATGTATAAGGGGCTGAGGGAGCCTTCAGGGAGCTTTTCTGAAAGAAGCCAGTGATGACAGTACAGAAAGGGGGCATTTTTATTTGGGTCTAGAAGTATGAATAAGAGTTTTCCAGGAGAGCACTGAGTCCCCAAGGAAAGAAATGGCTGAGGAACACAGTAGAAAGAAACCACCAGGTTCTACCCTTAGCCCCTGACTGACTTTGCTTTCAACAACTCCTTCTTCACAGTGGCTCTGGATGTTGGAATCCCCCTGCCTAAGGTCCTCAATGTCAATTTTGCCAATGCAGTCCTGGATATTATAGAGGTGAGTTTCCCATGCTGATGTGATCCAAGTGAGATTAGCTTGTCTAAAAAGGCCCAGCTTGTAATTCATGAGAGGAAGTTTGCATCTCATTCTCTGGCCTTCAGTATTTTCTAAATTTCTCAAAAAAATCACAAAGTACTTCATGTGGAGATGGGAAATATGGGTTACGCCTCTCTTGCTCATGGAAGACATTGCCAATCAATCGCAGAGTTCTTTCCTGCTGAATTTCAAACACTTGCTCTGGTCGACAAGGATGCAATCTCGGGTTTTCACAGAATTGCAGTTAGCCTGGTCCAAAGGCAGCAAATGCCTGGACTCTCTCTCCTGTACCCTGTACTTGTGGCAGACATGCGTAATCAATTGTGACACTTTTCCTTGCTTAGTTATAAACATTACCTCACAATATTTTTAAACCTAGCACAACTGATAGCCTGAGAATGGGCCAGAGAGAAAGGCAGATGAGAGGTCTGTGCTCATTTTTCAGATGAGGTCCAATTTCTGGCCTCTGACCTGACACAGTAAATTAGCGACAGAACTAGAACCTGAACTTGGGTCTCAAGTCTTAAAGTCAGCAACCTGTCCTATAGTAGGTGTCCTTTATTCATTTCATCCCACATGCACTCATCCATTCCCAAAACATTTAATGAGCATCTCCTGGGTTCCAGGTACAGTGCTAATGTCAAGGTTGGGGATAAAGACAATTGTAGGAATGAATCGTGGCACAGAGGTTGTGCACAAGAACATGGAGGCTCTAACAGGAAACTTGCTCTTTGCAGAATGCCATTGTGCTGACCGTGACATCCTGAAGTCGAGAGGCGGCCGCCGTCTCTCCCAGTTGACTTCAGAAGTCCTGTCCACTGCCTGCCTGGCCTTGATTTCCCTTCATCCTCATCTCTAGCCCGTGTTGGTGGCAGCATCCGCGTCTCCTCTTCATCAGGCCCACCCAGGCACTCTGCAAGTCATTTAACGTGCACCTCTCCCCCTATCTGGTTGAGGGCTACAGGGCTGGACTCAGGACTCTGCCTTCGAGAGGGCTCCAGGCCCTCGATGACAAGTCTTGAGCTTTCAATAAACTGCTTCGCTATCTCAGTACCTCCTGGCTGGTTTCTTCCCCAGTCACACAAGGGCTACTTGGGCCTCTGCCTTCAATGCCTTCTTAAACCTCAGACAAGAGCACCTGGGAGTGAGGTCACTAGGACCTGGTTCTTGAAGCCCCAAACTTGCCTCGTTGGCCTGGGAAGCCTCTGGGTCCTGTCCTACCTTCATCTCTTTCCCTCCCGCAACCTATTTCTCTAAATCTTCCTTTTCCTCCATCTCTTTTAGTCTTTCTGAGTCTGTTTGTCTCTCTGCCTCTCTGTGTTGAGGGTACTTCTCAGAAGTTGTGTCTGAGCTGACTTTTAAAGGGTGAAGAAGAGTTTGCCAGAGAGAAAAGAGTCTGACATCCCAGGATGCCAGGATGAATGAGATTGTCCACCTTAGAAGGACCCCTGCTTTCTGTGCATCACATGTGGACACACCTCAGAACAGACCTGAGAGTAAACGTGTACCAAATACTCTTAGTGCAGGTAGGGGAACTGAAGCCAGGGAGGGGCCTGGCTGATCCAAGGCCACACAGCAGCAGAATTGGGGTGAAGCTGGGGATCCTGCTCTCCTTCTGGCACTGGACTCCTCCTTGTTGCTCAGGATGGGCCTCTTTGGTTCTGGGTGGCATGCAGAGAAGAGTTGAAGCCTCTCTAGAGGTTTGTCTGCAGTTAGGAACGACTCTGAGACCACTGTTCCATTGAACTACACATCATCAGCCATCTACCCAGCCATCTGCTCATCCATCCGTCCTCCCACCTATTCACCCATCCATTTGTGCCATCCGTCCTTCCATCCATCCATCCAATCCATCTTTCCATCTATACACATCTATATACCCTCTCCTCCCCTGCTTCTTTTCTCTCTATCCATCTATTATCAATATTTACTATATGCCAAGCATAGTGCTGAGTGATCTGTTGGGGTTTTAATTCAACTCTTTTCTTATTTCCAGGTGTCTGCCAACTACCATCCTGGATAGCTCAGAGTTCAAATCCTATCCAAGTTACTAACTATTCAAGTTGTGGTCAATGGACAGACAAGTCATTTATCTCTGTCTCCCACTGATGTCAAGTTGATTCTAACTCATAGCAACTCTGTAAGGCAGAGTAGAACTGACCACAGAGTTTCAAGGCTGTGATCTCGATGGAAGCAGACGGCCACAGATTTCTCCTTCAGAGTGGCTGGTGCGTGTGAACCACTGAAATGTTAGAGGTGGAGTACTTAAGCACTGCACCACCAAGGTTCTTCCCAGGAATGTTAATGAGGTAGTACTAATGGGTTTTTTAAAAAAAATATTTTAGAATTGATTATCCTATAAGAATACCTTTATAGTATGTTTCATTCATACACATTATTTTATATGCTCTTTATTTTACATTATATTTCATATACATTCAGTTTTTCTAGTTTATTTATAAAATTTGAATACATAGTTTTTCACACCAGATCCTTCCCATTTCCTTCACACAACACCCCAATCAAATTGTACAACTACATGATGAACCCCACCGCCACACATCCTCACCCCTCTGTTTCGACCCCCCTCCTTTAGATCCTCATACTCATTCTACAATAATGGTTTTATAGGATGAGGACTGACCGTCTGCAGCATTGAATTCTTGCTTTTGCTGTTAGGTGCTGTGTTGATTTCAGTTCTCTACAACCACATGTGACAGTAGAACTACCCCAGGATTTTCTAGCCTGTAGTCTTTATGGAGGGAGCTCTGGAGGTGCAGTCCATAGTGAGCTGTGCCGCTCACCCAAAGCGGGCACCTCTCTGTCAGTCTGAATCCTCCAGCACGATGGGAGAAAGATGGGCAATCTCCTTCTGCACTGTTTACAGCCTCTGAACCTCCAAGAGTGTCTGTTCTGAATCAATTGCGAATCAAAGGCAAGGAGTCTGAATTTTTATGGGAGTAGATAGATGGCCAGGTCTTTCTCCTATAGAGCCACTGAGTGGGTTTGAACCAGCAATTTTTTTTTGTTAGCCACCAACTGCTTAACTATGGCACTACTAGGGCTCCGTTCAGTCACTGTTCCATCTTACTATTGATCCGTTATTCTACTTATTCCCTCCTCTTCACTCCACATCCCTGCTCTGGCATCTCTTTCATGAGGACCGTGCCTGCCCCCGCCCGGACTCCCACCCTCCTCGCCTCCTGCCCACCCTCTTCCAGCCCATCCGTAATCCCCTCTGATCATCTCACACTGCCTTCGTCAGCCCCTCTGGTAGGGTTCTTGTAGCCAACAAGAAGTCATCCACAGTCTTAGGTTTGGGAGGCTGCCTGTTCAGGGATGGCCCGGGACCTGGTATCAGCAATTCCCTCTAGAGAGTGAAAAGGGAGCAGAGTTGTCTGTGGGTTTCAGGCTTCCCATCTGTGAAATGGGAGCAATTTAGCACTCACTCATAGATAGGTTGGTTGAAGATTAGAGGAGACTCTTCTAGAAAAGTATTGAGAAGACAGGCTGGCACATGACCAGTGCTTGCTCCCTGTGCCCAGGCCTCTGCTGCCTGCAGTATCTTCCCCGTGCCCCCAAAAGTACCTGACAACACCCATAATCAGCAGGTTGTGTGTCACCTCTCCTTAGGGAAGAGTTTCACTCTCTCATACTCAGTGTGTCACCGTCTCTGTCTCATTCCTATATTTGACCAAGAGCTCCTCAAGTCGGGGACACTCTCTGCTTCGAGAGGACAGATCCTGTGGCTAATAATAGCAGCAAAATATCCTGTGCATAATAGCAGCAAAAGATACAAGCAAGAGACAAACGAGTGGCCATGACACTGACCCTGGCTCATGGCAACCCCATATGGGCAGAGTCAGACCACGCGCGCACGTCCTGGGGTTTTCACAGCTGTGACCTTTTAGGAGCAATTTGCCAAGCGGAATCACCAGTTTTGTGTTGTCGTTTGGTTTTTTTTTTTTAATTTGTTTGGTTTTTTTTAAATAAAAGTTTATTTTTATTCTTCTTTTTTAAAAAAATTTACAATAGTTAATTTGCAAAATTTGAATGTTGTTGTTATGTGCCGTCGAGTCGCTTGTGACTCATAGGGACCCTATGTACAACAGCCCTAAACTCTGCTCTGTCCTGTGCCAATCGCACTGTCTCTGACACTCCCATTCCGATTATCCCAGTCACTGAATCAATCCACCTCATAGAGGGCCTTCCCCTCCTGCGCTGTCGCTCCACCCTAAGAAG